CCCCGAGGCCTGACAGCTGGAGCGCACCGGAACCTGACTACAACCCTGAGCCCACATGGGAGAAGCCACGCCCACGCCCACCTCATCGACCGCCACCTGTTAGTGAACCCCAATATAGACCTCCCGCCAGACCTGAACAATGGGAGGCGCCGGCACCCGAGTATAGACCTCCCGCCAGACCTGAACAATGGGAGGCACCGGCACCCGAGTATAAGCCGGAGCCCGAATCATGGGAGGCATCCTATGAACCGCAGCCACGGCCTGAGAAACGGTGCAAAAGTATTGGAAATATTTTCTTGATTTCATATACAATTCAATTAAATCATACATTTTGTGTTTGTTTTCAGGTCTGCCTAAAGCCTATGACGTGGGTATGTATTCGTTGCATAAGTTATTAAATTATTAATTTAGTTATTATGTAATTGGTTCCTGATCGGTTTATCTACCAATAAATTATATGCGTGTTTGCGGACAGCCTTTACACCGGTAGCGGAACCGGAGGTAACCGAGAATTCGCAATACATATGCGACAGTAATTCAAAGGCCAAGAATATACTGAAAGAGGACACCCGATACCTGAGATGGACGTGCAATGGCGTGATTGTGGAAAGGGGTGACCAGTGGTTCGACGCCGTGTTCCCGGGCACACATAGCTATGATGGCGGACACCATAGCAAACACACCGAGCGATTGAACATTAAAAACTACACCAGAATATTGACGTTTAATAACGGTTTGCATTATATTATACTAGTAATGGTACATGCTGAAATTCAAATAGGGTTCAATTAATGCATTATATTGCATTAATGCATTAATGCATATAAATCTATTTGTAGGCAATCTAGATTACCAAGATTGTGGTGTGATTGTAGGTGGTAGGTGCTCGGGGGACACCTACTGGGGGATCGGTATCTTCGAGGCCGATGATCAACAGGGCTGCGCGAAGTTAGGTGTGAGCGGTGTCACGGCACTGGTCAGGGAGTTTGAGATCAGAGGCAGGTGCTCATCCCGGTGTTCACTCGGCGCCGCCACTAAGGTGTTGAACCCGGCGGTCAGTAATCACGGGGCGGTCGACAGGAGTATAGCCGACAAGACTGTGGCTGAAGAGGAGGACATACCGAGTGAAGTGATTGACACCAAAGAGGATAATCAATGAACTCTTGATGTCTATTGATGTCTATTCATATGTATTTGACTTTTAAAATAAAATTTTTTATTTAAATATTTTTTGTGTAAACTTCAAATAAACGGTCATTAAATTACACATGTTTTATATTAATGTTTTCAGGGTTGTTCAATTTTGCTTGATTTCAACAGCATCCTGTTTAATGTATTATATTTATGTGCAAAATATTATACATTATGATATTTACTTGTTAACTCAAATGATTGACTGAAATACTTTGATTGAAAAATTATACATTTATAAATAGTAGTTTACATAAATCATAATGAATAAAAGTATAACAAAATTTTATTTAACAACGTTAACACTAAATACACAATATCTAGATTGGGGTAGAAAAATATAAATTGTATTTATTGATTAACCTTGATCGATAATAATGTTTATTAAAAAAGCAAATAGATTATGATTAAATAAATAATATATTTTTAAATCATTTACAAAATATAAAACACATTTTTTGATCAAATAATTTGTTTAAGTGATTGAACAGCAAACAAATTTTTAAATTATTTAAAACCTAAATGAACTTTATATATATTTTTCTGTGACTTAACAAGAAACCAAATAGTGTGTGAAATATGTTGGACACAAACTTCTCAATTGTAGACTATTTAGTGTTTGCGCTCCTATTGATCGCCTCATCACTTATCGGAGTATACTTTTGGTACAAATCGCGAAATACAGCCACAAATGCCGAGTACCTGACCGGTAACCGGCAACTCAGTCTCATCCCGGTCATAATGTCTATGGCGGCTACTTTTATGTCCACTAATACATTACTAGGTATGCCGGCTGAGGTATACCAAGTGGGCACTCAAATGTGGGTGACATCAATATCATGTATTATAGCCATTGTGTTGACGGCTGAGGTTTTTATGCCTATCTATTATACAATGGGATTCATAAGTGTTAATGAGGTTTGAGAAATTTTATCAAAATATTGAGCAAGCATAATTATTACGAGTCTAGTATTTAGGAAAGCGATTTGACGCCGACTATATGCGATTTGCCGGCACAATAGGATTTACGTTTAAATTAGTAATTAATTCATTTGAAAGATCACGTTTTCTCAAAAATCATATAAATTTTTATATACCGTATAATTAGATCCCTTATTTGGCGACTGTATTGTATGGACCGGCAGTGGCACTCAGTGCAGGTGTGAAGCAATTTCAAAAATAATACTTTAAATGAAATTTTTAAATTCAAAATTAAACTTTATGTTAATCAGTGACACCGCTATCAATACCGATGTCTATACTTTTGGTGGGATTTATATGCACTTTCTACACATCCATTGTTAGTTAACATTATTTAAGAAATAAGCAATTTATGGGAAAATAATTGATAATTTTCTATTGGAAAGGGAGGCATAAAAGCGGTCATTTGGACGGACGTATTGCAGGGCTCACTTATGTTACTCGGAGTACTTGTGGTTATCGTAACTGTAATTTTTTAAAATCTTTCAATTAATAAAGCATATTAATCATTAATCTAAAATACCTCAAATATAGGGTGTGATAGAAACGGGTGGATTGAAGGAGCTATGGAACATCAATGAGCAAGGTGGTCGACTCAAATTTTTCAAGTAAATTTACTATATTTCAATCTCTATATACTTAATATTAAATTACAATGATTTCTAGTATGAAGGTAGATGTCTATAATCACGACAACTTCTGGAATGTACTCATTGGTACGGCGGTAACATGGTCGGGCGGTTACTGTATATCACAGCCACAGATACAACGATACTGTAACGTGGGTTCACCTCAAAAGGGTCGGCGGTATGTATATTAATGAAGATTTTTATATTGCATTTTTAAGTCAATCATACTCTTGTACATATTGTATAAAATATTAATAGGGCGTTGTATTGGAATCTCCCGGGGCTCATAGTATTTGTCGTGATGTCCATAACGTGTGGCATGGTCATATACGCCAAATACCACGCGTGTGACCCTGTTACTTTGGGTCTGATTAAAAGACATGACCAACTCATGCCGTATTACGTTATGGACACTTTATCTCAATACCCGGGATTACCGGGTCTTTTTGTGGCATGTGTGTTCAGTGGGTCGCTCAGGTATGTTATGTTTATAAAAATCTAAAAATAATTAATTATACTATAATTGAAAGCACCCTATCGTCGGGTTATAACTCATTGGCGGCCATCACTTGGGAGGATCTCATTAAGGATCGCGTGAAACTCAAAAATGAAAGCCAGGCACTCCTTGTCTCTAAATTAATTGGTATAATAATTGTTATAAATTAGTAAACATTGGTATTTATGGTTATACTGTATATTATGCGGACAGCCATGTCCTACGGACTCATAATCATTGGGTTCGCGTTTCTCGTGGGAAACGCAGGGACTGTAATGCAGGCGTCGATGGCTATAAGCGGAGCTATGAGTGGCCCTATATTTGCCTTATTTCTTGTCGGCATATTTTATCCGTACGCCACCGCACCGGTAGGCAAAACATATACAGTACTCTGTCATAAAAGGGTATTTATTTTATGACTATATCTGTAATAAAGGGCGCATTAATAGGATTTCTGAGTGGATATGGCGTTAACTCAGTCCTAGCCATCGGTTCGTTGGTTCTGCCGCGACCGAAGGTGTCGTTACCGACTACTCTAGACAACTGTCCGGTGGATGTCATCCAAAGTGTGTTCACCCGATTTGAAACACTACCCAACTCTACGTACATCCCGTCTTATGATAACGTGGAGTATGTCTCACGAAAATACAATACTTCACGAAATTATATGAAAATAAATTTGTTTTTCAGAGGTTTGGGTCAATTCTTTCACATCTCATACCTATTGCTGTCAACCATTGGATTCACGATATGTATTGTCGTATCAGTGTTGACCAGTCTATGCATAGGTTTGTCAGTAATACATGATATATTCATATAAAATGAGAAATGTACAATTATACCTACAAATTTAATTTTGAAAATGTATCAGGTAAACAAATCAAAACACTCGATACAAAGCTGATGTCACCGATCGTTAAATATATATTTCCCGGTATTGGAGCCCAAAATAATGTATTGTAATTTTGTACAGTAATTTATCTTAATTTATTAAAGTAATTAATTTTAATTATTTATATGAGTTTATATTTTCAGCATAAATCCAATGCAATCGAGACAATAGATGCCACGTATGTCTCGTACACACCAGATATAAATCAAATAAATATTACAAATGAAGTGACCAGGGTTTAGACAATTATTAATTACAAAATTTATTTGTAAATAATATACAAATTAAAGGAAAAGTTAATTAAAACTATTATTAATATTATTTCTAACATTTATTTTATTGATTTATTTTTGCATGGACATGCAAATCACAAATCATTATATTTTTATAAGTTTGTACAAAAAACTAAATTGAATATTTATATTTTTTATAATAAATTTATATTTTTACATGTTAATTATGATAAATATTAGTTACTTAAAATGAATGAATAAAATACTTTTTGATTGAAAATAATTTAATAATATTTTCCATAAATCATGATCAATAAAAAAGTTTAACACGTTTTTTAAACATAATTAGCACTACATAAATAATATCTAGATTGGGATAGCTAAATATAAATTGTATTTATTGATTAACCTTGATTGATATAATGTTTATAAATGAAGCGAATAGATTACGATTAAATAAATAATATATTTTTTAAATCATTGACAAAATCCAAAACACATTTTTTGATCAAACAATTTGTCTAAGTGATTGTATTTTTAAAAATTTAAATATATATATATTTTGAGACTTAATAAAAAACAAATAGTGTGTGAAATATGTTGGACACAAACTTCTCAATCGTAGA